TGAACCTGGGTCTCCCACCTGCAAGGCGAGGATTCTGCCACTGGGTTACCATGTCCCCTCTTCCCAAATAGCACAGAGCAAAGCCAGATTGGGGGAAGGTGGGGGTAGGGGCTTGGTGAATGTCTCCAGTTAACATTCTGAGAAGACATACTTCCCTTTCAAGCGAAGCAAATTCATTCACAATCTCCTCCTGCCCACCTCCGCACTATTTCTTTTTTTCTGAAGTCCCGGACTCCTCCAGCCTTTGAGGCCACCTGGGGCATTTCCCCTGCGTGGAGCACTGTGTAAACCAGGGGCTGTGAAGCCCCTGCTCTGTGTGTGCGTTTGAAGGGGAGAGCAGGGCTCCAGAGGAGGAGGGTAGGACCCTTGTCTGTGTCAAGCACAGCCACCAAGCCTTGTCCCTTCTCTGGGCCGCCATCTGCGGAGAACGTGACCTTCCTGAAGCCCTCCGCATTGGTGAACCCTTCAGTTCACACACACCCCCACCCAAAAGGAACGCCTGTGAAATCCCTGAGCAAGCTAGCTGTCCCTTCCTGTCCTTAGTGGGTGGCCAGAGAGGGCACCTGCTTTTCTCTTGGGAGACCCTGGGGGATACAAATGGTTAACAATGCTCCCACTGCCATCCGGAAGGTAGGAGCATCAAGTCCAGCCCAGCATCTCAGAAGAAAGGGCTGGCAACCGACAGGGGCCTTCAGACAGTTCGTGGCAAAAATGTTTCTGGCAGAGAATGGAGTTTTCCCTCCAACTACAGGAAACCCCCGCGGACTTCCAAAACCTGGGCCATTGAAAACCCTGTGGAGGCCGGTTGAACTGAGATGCTCGCGGGCCGCCAAGTCAGTCAACTCCACGGCAACAGGCTTGTTCGTCTTTTGCCTTTAGCCTCCCCCATCCAAGCCACACCACAGCTAGAAAGGCAGCGTCCATCACGCACAATGTCGTTTCTTTTCTCCCCAAACCCAAATCACCATGGCGTCGCCTTGGGTCCCACGCTCCCTCCCTTCTGCTGCCCCACCCCCCACCCTGTCCCCCTCATCAAAGCAGCTAAGCACTGGTACCTTAAGAAGCAATCAGACACTTCCTCAAGAATTGGCCCATTTGCCCACCGGGGTCCAAGTTGTCAAAGAGCATGCTCGGAAGGGACCCTTCCCTTGACACTCACCTTTCCAGTGCTTTCAGACCAGACCCTCTCTCCTGCAGTGAGGGCACAGTGGGCTGACTGCTCCGGAGGCGTGGACTTCAGGGCGTGTGGGCCAGAGGCCCAGGGGAGTGTTCAGAGGTCGGACGTCACTGCTTGCAGGAGAGGAGAGCTGGCCAGACTCTCTTCTGCCAAATTGCCTCCCTCCTCCTCCCCCGCCGCCCCCACCCCCCAGGGTCCCTGGCCAAGTCTTTCTTTCTGCGACTTCCCCAGCTCATGCAGACGCAGTCGGTGACCTTCGGCGCGCTGCAGGAGACAAACATCACACCGAAAATCACCCCCTTGGGACCAGTGCACAATGGCCTCTTTCTCACTCCCCCATCTCTCAGCGGCTGGTGTTTCTTGAGTGCTGGTCTTTCCCCTGGACGGGAGCGCGCCGCACATTTGACAGCAGCGTTCTTGCCCCAAGGCTGCTGGCCAAGCCTGGGTGGCGCTGCCGGTTAAACCTTGTCCAGTTAGGCGAAAGGCTGGGGGTTCAAACCCCTCCGGGGTGGGTCTGAAGAGAGGCCTATCGATGATCTGTTCTGAGAAACTCCACGGGGAGCAAGTGGGTTGAGAAGGACATGAGGCAACAAACAAAGCTTCACCCTGAAGAAGCGAGGGCCGCCCTGGGCCCGGCACTGTGTATTCAGCCTGCTTGGTCACTTCCTGGGTGTCCCCGGGCCACGGACCCCACCTCCCTGTGACTCTCTTTCCCCATCGGTACAATGTGGACCTAATGCTGTGTGCCCAAAACCAGAAAGCAACCCTGATCCCGACGCATCGCAACCCTATAGGACAGGGTAGAACTGCCTCTGTGGGTTTCTGAGACCATGACCCTTCACGGGACTAGAACATCTGGTCTTTCTCCCTAGGACCAGGGGGTGGTTTTGAACTGCTGACTTTACGTTTAGCAGCCCGATTTATAAGCACAGCGCCACCTGTCCACCTCCGTAAGGAAGCATCCAATGAGATGAACACATGGAGGTGCGGGCCCAGGGCCTGGCACCTAGTCACACTAATACATAACTCTCTGTGGTTGATACTGTCACCACCACAGTTAGGCAGGAGGCTCCTCAAAGCCGGTGTGGTCTGCGGGGACTTCCCGTGAGCCTTTCCAACCCAGTG